AGACTACAATCACCTCAGCTAGACAAGTTTCCATGTTACGGTCACGAAATACATATTCGTTTACACATTGTTTAGTCATAAATTAAACCCTTTAGTTAACAAAATAATAATATCACAGTTAAATGAAGTTCCTTATTTCAGTCACAAAATAAATGTTACATCAATTGACTGGTCACTAACCTAGCACAGGATTAATAGAACGTACAAATAAAAAAAAATATACCACGAAATGAGCATCCCGTCATACTAGCATCAAATGGGGTAAGAAGGGACGGACGGGGTAATAAGGGACAGTCCTTCTCCTTCAGTATTTTGTAGAAATCTGAAATGTTGTTGCAGCTAAACTAATCAAAATAGGCTATTTCAAAACTGAAATTAGTGGCATAAAGTTGAACATTTTACATTTTTACTAGCTATCTATGTAGCAGTAGCATTAACTATTAGGCAAGTTGAGAAATCTGAAATCATACCCTACTTCTGAAAAAAAGTGTGAAAAGTGAGGTTTTGAATAAGTACCTCTGCTCTGCTAAGCAGCTAAGGTCTGTAGCAAAAAAAAAATATATTTGTTGTATTAAAAAATTTTACTTACATACCTAGTTACATAAAAGTTGCATAGGGTAAACGCGGTATATTCCGACACTTTAAGGACGCATCGAGAAATGAAAAACTATAAAAAAAAACCGTATTCGTTACGTAAGTTCTGTTGCCTTCACATGACTCTCAAAACACTTCACTACGCATGCTAGATGGCCAAGACCTAGTGTTTTTGCAGTATTTCGACACGCAAATGTATGACGTCACCATTTCAACCATCAATGAACGCATGGAACTAAAACAAAGCTTAATATAAAGGTAAAACTAGAGAAGTGACGGAATTACCTACGATGTCGGAATATACCGCGTTTACCCTATACTGGTGTTGGCTTAAAAATGTGATTGACAGAATTTGCGTATCTCAATCCAAAAAAAAAATGGTGGCCATTTCCGTGAGGTGAGACAGGGTAATAAGGGACATCCCCACCGAGTAATAAGGCCAGGGCGCAGAGGGTGGATGCAGTGTCGCCAATATATGGGTTTTTAAGCCCTAAGCGTCGCCGGGTAATTTTAAGATGCGTCGCCGGGTAATTTTTAATGAAAAGCCATTTACGCTGAGTAATGAAAAACTATTTACAAGCCCCGAACTTATTTACAAGGTTGCATGCACATGTTATCCTAAATAACTAATTTTACCCTAAAAACAGTCTGATTGTGCAGCTGCAGCAAGTGTCAACTGAACATGTGATAATGAAGTCTGACCGCTCTAATGTGACCGCAACTACGTAATCGTAAGCTTGATGTTTACATTTTTTTTTGGTGGGAACTCATTGCAACTGATTTCCAGACAAGCTTCACTGCATCCTGATCCATCCAACATATCGGAAACCTTACTTTTTTTTAAATAGTTGGCCGAAGCCTAACAAATATATTAAATGCAAGAATTTCAATCTAAATGTGTCGGCAAGATCTTCTGAAGGCATAAATTTTGCTACTGAAGCGTCACCAAAGATCTTGCAATATTCATCCACTCTCTGCACAGTGGTAATAAGGGACACCCCTAAAAATGCTTTTACAGTAGAAGTTGTAGAACCTTGGTTAGACTGTTAGCAAAGGCTCTGGTTAACAAAAAAAAATCAATCAACAACAAAAAATTTTGCTTATGGTAAACGCAATATATACCGACAATTTAAGGACATAGCAAAAAATGAATGGCTATAAAAAATACACCATACACGCAACTCGAGTTCTGTTTGCCTTATGTCACTCTCTAAACACCACACTACGGGCCAGCAACAATGAAATGTCACAAAATGTTGCCATATTTATTTAAAAGCCTTTAGAATGCAAACCTACCAAATCCATATATCCCGACACTGTGTGTGACTAAACTAGGCATTTTGTGAGACTAATTCCGGCAGCGCTTCAAACTCTACTAATTCATAATGCCGACACTCTTGTGTTCAAATTCTGATTGCTGTGTGAGCTGTATTGGAATACAACACAGCTTGGAATTAGAACACTATTGAATATTGAACACTACTTAATTAGGCTTTTAATTAAGAGCAATTAAGCTTTTAATTAAGAAAATTTTAATTTTTGCACACAGCTTGGAACAAGCTGTGTGTGTCTAATTCCAAGCTGTGTCAGAATTAGTTTTATGTGTCTAAAACCATCTCTTAACTTAATCATCTACTAATTTTTTACAACTTGAAATCAGCAAATACAAGTATACTTGAAGGATTCTTAATATATTCACAGACGTATTTAAAAGTCTCAAACCATAATATTCTTTCTACACAAACAGTTCATCACTATTTGGTAGAGCAAGGTCGACTATCAACTTTGACACATTTTTCGATGTTCTCACTGGGTGATGCACACTGTCTCTCTTTGGATCTCAACATTTTCCCGCCAGACGGCCCAGACCTAGTGTTTTGGCAATAGTATGGCACACAAAAGTATGATGTCACTATTTCAACCATCAACAGATGCATGGAACTAAGAAAAAGCTTAATATAAAGGAAAAAAGTGAAGAAGTGTCAGAATTACCCACGATGTCAGAATATACCGCGTTTACCCTACATTCACCTCCCTCAGTGAAAAAAAATTTCACTTAACATGTTAACAAAAAATTAATGCATCATCAGTCATTACAATAAGGTGCATAGAATGTCATATATAGAAATGAGTAAAAGTAACCCTAAACTATGATTCATTTCTCCAAAAAATATGATGGTTGTTACTAAAATATTCCTTCCTGTTTCAGG